GGAACCCAGGGTCGCAACATAGACACGTAGAATATATAGTTATTCACAAGGTATAGAAGGAACAAAGACATGATGATAACAAGAGTATAACAAAACAAACAAAGGAACCCAAACATATGAAGTGAGAGGGAGCGTTTCCGACCATCGTGGACCCTAACCAATTGGGCTGGATAAGGGGTCCAGCATGGTCCAAAACGTGGCTTCCATATCTCCTCATGTGTGTGTTGGGTCTGTGTGAGCCCTGGCCTGAGCCCTGGCCTGAACCCTGGCCTGAGCCCTGGCCTGAGCCCTGGCCTGAGCCCTGGCCTGAACCCTGGCCTGAGCCCTGGCCTGAGCCCTGGCCTGAACCCTGGCCTGAGCCCTGGCCTGAGCCCTGGCCTGAGCACTAGCCTGAGCACTAGCCTGAGCCCTAGCCTGAGCCCTAGCCTGAGCCCTGGCCTGACCCCTGGCCTGAGAGCAGTGGTGCAGCAGAGCAAGAAGACAAGGGCCGGCTACGCTGGTGTGAGCTACAAGGAACCTGGGACCAGGAGGCAACACAACCCAACTCCAAACAATTTAAACAAGTACTTATGTTGACAACTTGAAGGTCTTTACACGTGTGGAGGCGGGGTCCAACACCTGGAGCTCAACCCTGCTAGCACAACCAACAGAGTTCACCCTCCCCTGGCCTCTAGCTCCTGGGCCCCTGCCCCAGGGGGACGTGTCTCGCCCCCTAACCTGTTACCACAGTTCATATTAGACACATCCTCACACACTCCAGATTTTGAGATGATTATTGAGCGACGGGAAAGATGGAACAGACGGGGAGGGGATAGGCAGGGAGGGGATAGGCAGGGAGGGGGAGAGGCAGGGAGGGGGAGAGGCAGGGAGGGGATAGGCAGGGAGGGGATAGGCAGGGAGGGGATAGGCAGGGAGGGGGAGTTAGGGGAGGGGAATGAAATATGGACGGACGAGAATAGGGAATAAGAATCGGGATAGGGGTAGAGGGGGATAAGGGAGGGGGTAGGGAGAGTGAGGGGTGGGGGCGGTGGGATAGGGAGGGGGGGGGGGGTGAGAGAGCCTACTCAGAGGTGAAGGAAAATTATTATTACTATTGGTTCCCCCGACCCCCCCCCCCTTTAGTTGGGGGGGGGGAGCCTGTTAGGCTTATCAAGGTCCCCCGTAGGCCAGCTACTGATGACCTCACCAACATGCCACCCACAACAGTTCACTAACTCCCAGGTACCTATTTACTGCATGTGAATTTAATCACAAAACTGTCTACTTTAGATATTGAAGCATTCATGTCTGGGGGTAGAGTGTGGGGTGTACGGGCAAGCCTGGTGGATAACAGAGATCCCTGTTATCCTGCAGGATAACAGGGACCTATCAGTAACCCGTGGTGGCTGGGGTCTGGGGTCTGGGGTAGTGTAGGTGGTGGCTGGGGTCTGGGGGTAGTGCAGGGGGTGGTTGGGGTCTGGGGGTAGTGCAGGGGGTGGTTGGGGTCTGGGGTAGTGTAGGTGGGGTCTGGGGTCTGGGGTAGTGTAGGTGGTGGCTGGGGTCTGGGGTAGTGTAGGTGGTGGCTGGGGTCTGGGGTAGTGCAGAGGGTGGTTGGGGTCTGGGGGTAGTGTAGGTGGGGTCTGGGGTAGTGCAGGTGGTGGCTGGGGTCTGGGGGTAGTGCAGGGGTCGTTGGGGTCTGGGGTAGTGTAGGTGGGGTCTGGGGTAGTGTAGGTGGTGGCTGGGGTCTGGGGTAGTGCAGGGGGTGGTTGGGGTCTGGGGTAGTGTAGGTGGGGTCTGCGGTAGTGTAGGTGGTGGCTGGGGTCTGGGGTAGTGCAGGGGGTGGCTGGGGTCTGGGGTAGTGTAGGTGGTGGCTGGGGTCTGGGGTAGTGCAGGGGGTGGCTGGGGTCTGGGGTAGTGCAGGGGGTGGCTGGGGTCCAGGGTAGTGCAGGGGGTGGCTGGGGTCTGGGGTAGTGTAGGTGGTCGCTGGGGTCCAGGGTAGTGCAGGGGGTGGCTGGGGTCTGGGGTAGTGTAGGTGGTGGCTGGGGTCCAGGGTAGTGCAGGGGGTGGCTGGGGTCTGGGGTAGTGTAGGTGGTGGCTGGGGTCTGGGGTAGTGCAGGGGGTGGCTGGGGTCCAGGGTAGTGCAGGGGGTGGCTGGGGTCTGTGGAAGTGTAGGTGGTGGCTGGGGTCTGGGGTAGTGTAGGTGGTGGCTGGGGTCTGGGGTAGTGTAGGTGGTGGCTGGGGTCTGGGGTAGTGTAGGTGGTGGCTGGGGTCTGGGGTAGTGCAGGGGGTGGCTGGGGTCTGGGGTAGTGCAGGGGGTGGCTGGGGTCTGGGGTAGTGCAGGGGGTGGCTGGGGTCTGGGGTAGTGCAGGGGGTGGCTGGGGTCTGGGGTAGTGCAGGGGGTGGCTGGGGTCCAGAGTAGTGCAGGGGTTGGCTGGGGTCTGGGGTAGTGTAGGTGGTGGCTGGGGTCTGGGGTAGTGTAGGTGGTGGCTGGGGTCTGGGGTAGTGCAGGGGGTGGCTGGGGTCCAGGGTAGTGCAGGTGGTGGCTGGGGTCCAGGGTAGTGCAGGTGGTGGCTGGGGTCTGGGGTAGTGCAGGTGGTGGCTGGGGTCCAGGGTAGTGTAGGTGGTGGCTGGGGTCTGGGGTAGTGTAGGTGGTGGCTGGGGTCTGGGGTAGTGTAGGTGGTGGCTGGGGTCTGGGGTAGTGTAGGGGGTGGCTGGGGTCTGGGGTAGTGCAGGGGGTGGCTGGGGTCTGGGGTAGTGCAGGGGGTGGCTGGGGTCTGGGGTAGTGTAGGGGGTGGCTGGGGTCTGGGGCAGTGTAGGTGGTGGCTGGGGTCTGGGGTAGTGCAGGGGGTGGCTGGGGTCTGGGGTAGTGCAGGGGGTGGCTGGGGTCTGGGGTAGTGCAGGGGGTGGCTGGGGTCCAGAGTAGTGCAGGGGGTGGCTGGGGTCTGGGGTAGTGCAGGGGGTGGCTGGGGTCTGGGGTAGTGCAGGGGGTGGCTGGGGTCCAGAGTAGTGCAGGGGGTGGCTGGGGTCTGGGGTAGTGTAGGTGGGGTCTGGGGTAGTGCAGGGGGTGGCTGGGGTCTGGGGTAGTGCAGGGGGTGGCAGGGGTCCAGAGTAGTGCAGGGGGTGGCTGGGGTCTGGGGTAGTGCAGGGGGTGGCTGGGGTCTGGGGTAGTGCAGGGGGTGGCTGGGGTCCAGGGTAGTGCAGGGGGTGGCTGGGGTCTGGGGTAGTGTAGGTGGTGGCTGGGGTCTGGGGTAGTGCAGGGGGTGGCTGGGGTCTGGGGTAGTGCAGGGGGTGGCTGGGGTCTGGGGTAGTGCAGGGGGTGGCTGGGGTCCAGAGTAGTGCAGGGGGTGGCTGGGGTCTGGGGTAGTGCAGGGGGTGGCTGGGGTCCAGAGTAGTTCAGGGGGTGGCTGGGGTAGTGTAGGTGGTGGCTGGGGTCTGGGGTAGTGCAGGGGGTGGCTGGGGTCTGGGGTAGTGCAGGGGGTGGCTGGGGTCTGGGGCAGTGCAGGGGGTGGCTGGGGTCTGGGGTAGTGCAGGGGGTGGCTGGGGTCTGGGGTAGTGCAGGGGGTGGCTGGGGTCTGGGGTAGTGCAGGGGGTGGCTGGGCTCTGGGGTAGTGCAGGGGGTGGCTGGGGTCTGGGGTAGTGCAGGGGGTGGCTGGGGTCTGGGGTAGTGCAGGGGGTGGCTGGGGTCCAGGGCAGTGCAGGGGGTGGCTGGGGTCTGGGGTAGTGCAGGGGGTGGCTGGGGTCCGGGACGAACCAATCAGTGTCTCGGGAACTGTAAATAAACAGAGCGTCAACTGTCAATTTTCGTCATTCACGGCCAATTGGCTGTGTCTAGGGGAGCTGTACCGGGCGGTGAGGAACTTGTAGGGGAATGTGAGGAAGTGAGGGGTGAGGAGGGATGGTGAGGGGACGACTACTGGAGAAGGGGAAGAAGAGGGGAGCGACCCGGGAGATGTTTGGTATACATACCTATTATTTCGTTCAGTAGAGTGAAGTGAGACAGTGTCATTGTAGGGTCTTGTCCGCCACCTGCAGTGATGCCGTTATGGGTGCCAGTGGGTGGCAGTGGGTGCCAGTGGGGACGTCAAATGTGGTGCCAGGAGGCGGAAGTAGTCGGTGCCGGAGGGGAGGGAGGGGGTGTTGGGCGGTGTCAGCCCACAGTGGGTGGCAGTGACGGGTGCCAGAGGGCCACGGGTGGCACTCAAGGGCAGCAGCAGCGGACGGTACTAGGGTGATGGCGCAGAGGGTGGCAGAGGTGGCAGGGAGTGACAGTACAAGTTGGCAGCGAGGAAGGCAGACGGCGGATGGTATTAGGGCCGGTGGGTACCACTGGAGGGCGGCCGGTGGGTACCACTGGAGGGCGGCCGGTGGGTACCACTGGAGGGCGGCCGGTGGGTACCACTGGAGGGCGGCCGGTGGGTACCACTGGAGGGCGGCCGGTGGGTACCACTGGAGGACGGCCGGTGGGTACCACTGGAGGGCGGCCGGTGGGTACCACTGGAGGGCGGCCGGTGGGTACCACTGGAGGGCGGCCGGTGGGTACCACTGGAGGCGGCCGGTACTGAAAGGTTGGGGGAGCCATTGCGGAGGCTGGGTGGTAAGTGAGGGCTAGCGGGTGGCATTTGGAGGGTGAGCGGCAACGGGTGGCAGGGGGTAGAGGGCGGGTGGCAGGTGGCAGAGAAGCGGATGGCAGGGGGCAGGTGGCAGAGGGTGGCAGGGGGCGGGAGGCAGGTGGCAGAGGAGCGGGTGGCAGAGGAGCGGGTGGCAGGTGGCAGAGGAGCGGGTGGCAGGGGGCGGGCTAGGCTCACGACAAATGGGATTTACATATGATAGCAATACCATTAATGTCCTCACTGACGCCGAACGATACTTTGCGTTCTTCCCAAAATGGTTCACTTGCACCAAAACCTGCAATATACGCACCCAAACCCACCAACACGCCACACGATAATCACCACTAACCTCTAACCTGTTACAGCTCAACCACTTCCCGTTAGTTATCCTCCGTAAACAAGATAACCAACATGATAACCTTCAACATTGTGAAGACAACGGAAACTTCTGAAAAACCCAACTTGTCTGGAACCCGTTAAATTATCATTTTCTAATCAATCTCTTACAATCAATAAGTGAAACACAGACCCAGAGAGCGAGGAAGCCATCTCCCGACCACCACCACGCCACCAAAGCCACCAAAGCCACACCAATGGAATAAAACTGTAGATATATTTTAGTGGGTAAAAATGCCAGAGAATTGATAGGCTAGCGACCTCTGGCCCTCTGAGTGGGTAGATCAAAGGGGGTTCAGACGATACCTAATAGATTTGATATTGGTTTGATATTATGCCGCCATGCCACTAAATGCAACGAGATCCAACCATGAAGGAATTTTGAAGAGAACACATTAGCTGACAAAATGAAGGTGGATCAGTGCTAGGCTGGCGGGTGGATGGGAGGATATTGCCATCACTAGGCTGCTGCTCTCTGGAAAAACATGTAATGCAAATACGCGATCTAAATGTTTAATCTCTCTCTATTGAACTATCCTACAAACTTGAGTGTGATGAATGGGATTAGTGGAATATATTCAGTGAAGATATTTGCATGATGAAGAACGGGAGGTGTGTGGAAAGGTTCAAATCCGGAGTCCACCGGAGCCCCGGATCATCGCAATACGATTTTTACCGTAATGCTATTAATTGCGCCTTTCATCTCTGTGCGTATGATCTCAGGGTATTCTAATTTGCGTAACTGTAATGGTTTATTTATTAGGAAGTCATATGCTATTTCTCTCTCTCTCCGAGGCCCTGTTAACCTTAACTCATAACCTGTCTTAAACACGTCCACAACATGTTGTTCTGTCACCTTGGTTAGGTGTCGGTGCTCTCAGTTTTGGTTAATAGTTTTGGTTTGCTCTTTGGTTTTGGTTCAGAATAAAATATCAATGTTATAGCACGAGTTGTTTTCATTTAGTGTAATTATCTATATTAAAACAATTATACCGACACTTTCACAGCCTACTTCTACAACACCGTTACAATCTAGTTCAACAACACCATCACAGCCTAGTTCAACAACACCATCACAGCCTAGTTCAACAACACCACAGCCTAGTTCAACAACACCATCACAGCCTAGTTCAACAACACCACAGCCTAGTTCAACAACACCACAGCCTAGTTCAACAACACCACCACAGCCTAGTTCAACAACACCACAGCCTAGTTCAACAACACCACAGCCTAGTTCAACAACACCACCACAGCCTAGTTCAACACCACCACCACAGCCTAGTTCAACAACACCACCACAGCCTAGTTCAACAACACCACCACAGCCTAGTTCAACAACACCACCACAGCCTAGTTCAACAACACCACCACAGCCTAGTTCAACAACACCACCACAGCCTAGTTCAACAACACCACCACAGCCTAGTTCTACAACACCACCACAGCCTAGTTCAACAACACCACCACAGCCTAGTTCAACAACACCATCACAGCCTAGTTCTACAACACCATCACAGCCTAGTTCAACACCACCACCACAGCCTAGTTCAACAACACCACCACAGCCTAGTTCTACAACACCACCACAGCCTAGTTCAACAACACCACCACAGCCTAGTTCAACAACACCATCACAGCCTAGTTCTACAACACCATCACAGCCTAGTTCAACACCACCACCACAGCCTAGTTCAACAACACCACCACAGCCTAGTTCAACAACACCACCACAGCCTAGTTCAACAACACCACCACAGCCTAGTTCTACAACACCACCACAGCCTAGTTCAACAACACCACCACAGCCTAGTTCAACAACACCACCACAGCCTAGTTCTACAACACCACCACAGCCTAGTTCAACAACACCACCACAGCCTAGTTCAACAACACCACCACAGCCTAGTTCTACAACACCATCACAGCCTAGTTCAACAACACCACCACAGCCTAGTTCAACAACACCATCACAGCCTAGTTCAACAACACCACCACAGCCTAGTTCAACAACACCATCACAGCCTAGTTCTACAACACCACAGCCTAGTTCAACAACACCACCACAGCCTAGTTCAACAACACCACCACAGCCTAGTTCAACAACACCACCACAGCCTAGTTCTACAACACCACCACAGCCTAGTTCAACAACACCACCACAGCCTAGTTCAACAACACCATCACAGCCTAGTTCTACAACACCACCACAGCCTAGTTCAACAACACCACCACAGCCTAGTTCAACAACACCACCACAGCCTAGTTCAACAACACCACCACAGCCTAGTTCAACAACACCACCACAGCCTAGTTCAACAACACCACCACAGCCTAGTTCAACAATGTGCTACAACTGAACTAAACAAAGATACACAGATTGTTCAACAGTCTCAGGCGAGGTCCGCACGACGCACTAATAGTGTTACCAATATTTACATATGGTGAAGCAGCAATTATTGTAGGGTGAGCCAGTAATTATTGTAGGGTGAGGCTGATATTATTGTGGGGTGAGGCTGATATTATTGTAGGATGAGGGTGCAATTATTGTAGGGTGAGCCGGTAATTATTGTAGGGTGAGGCTGATATTATTGTGGGGTGAGGCTGCAATTATTGTAGGATGAGGGTGCAATTATTGTAGGGTGAGGCTGCAATTATTGTAGGGTGAGGCAGCAATTATTGTAGGGTGAGGCTGATATTATTGTGGGGTGAGGCTGCAATTATTGTAGGGTGAGGCTGATATTATTGTAGGGTGAGGCTGCAATTATTGTAGGGAGAGCCAACAATTATTGTAGGGTGAGGCTGCAATTATTGCGGGATGAGACAGCAATTATTGTAGGGTGAGGCTGTAATTATTGTAGGGTGAGGCTGCAATTATTGTAGGGTAAGGCTGCGATTATTGTAGGGAGAGCCAGTAATTATTGTAGGGCGAGGCTGCAATTATTGTAGGGTGAGGCAGCAATTATTGTAGGGTGAGGCTGCAATTGTGGGGTGAGGCTGCAATTATTGTAGGGTGATGCAGCAATTATTGTGGGGTGAGGCTGCAATTATTGTAGGGTGAGGCTGCAATTATTGTAGGGTGATGCAGCAATTATTGTGGGGTGAGGCTGCAATTATTGTAGGGTGAGGCAGCAATTATTGTAGGGTGAGGCAGCAATTATTGTAGGGTGAGGCTGCAATTATTGTGGGGTGAGGCTGCAATTATTGTAGGGTGAGGCAGCAATTATTGTAGGGTGAGGCTGCAATTATTGTAGGGTGAGGCTGCAATTATTGTAGGGTGAGGCTGCAATTATTGTAGGGTGAGGCACCAATTATTGTAGGGTGAGGCAGCAATTATTGTGGGGTGAGGCTGCAATTATTGTAGGGTGAGGCAGCAATTATTGTAGGATGAGGCTGCAATTATTGTGGCTGAGACAGCAATTATTGTAGGGTGAGGCTGCAATGATAGTAGGGTGAGGCAGCAATTATTGTGGCTGAGGCAGCAATTATTGTAGGGTGAGGCTACAATGATTGTAGGGTGAAGCTGCAATTAGTGTGGCTGAGGCAGCAATTATTGTAGGCTGAGGCTGCAATTATTATAGGGTGAGGCAGCAATTATTGTAGGGTGAGGCTGCAATTATTGTAGGGTGAGGCAGCAATTATTGTGGGTTGAGGAAGCAATTATTGTGGGTTGAGGCTGCAATTATTGTAGGCTGAGGCAGCAATTATTGTAGGGTGAGGCTGCAATTATTGTGGGTTGAGGCTGCAATTATTGTAGGATGAGGCAGCAATTACTGTAGGGTGAGGCCTCAATTATTGTAGGGTGAGGCTGCAATTATTGTGGGTTGAGGCAGCAATTATTGTGGGGTGAGGCAGCAATTATTGTGGGGTGAGCCAGCAATTATTGTGGGTTGAGGCAGCAATTATTGTGGGGTGAGCCAGCAATTATTGTGGGTTGAGGCTGCAATTATTGTAGGATGAGGCAGCAATTACTGTAGGGTGAGGCAGCAATTATTGTTTGGTGAGCCAGCAATTATTGTGGGTTGAGGCAGCAATTATTGTGGGGTGAGCCAGCAATTATTGTGGGTTGAGGCTGCAATTATTGTAGGATGAGGCAGCAATTACTGTAGGGTGAGGCAGCAATTATCATGACGGGTCGAGAGGCGTGATGGGGTCGCCAGCAGAAGCAGGAAGGACTATCAGGGCAGCAACAGCCTCATACTCGGTATATAAGGATGAGTCTAGCCAAACCTGGCGGATATAAAACATTCATATCTCAATTAGCGAGCTGCTTGCCTCCATTGACACGGCCAGCAGATGCCTTCTCTCCGCAATATTTAATAGACAAACATCTAACGCCGCTGCTAACAGCATCATTGTTTACCTATAATTCCGTTTGAATAGAGCTAATACGAGGAACCGGGGCGGGGCCAGACGTGCCCGCACTTCCCACATGGGATAGTTCAGGTTTCTTTGTGCTCCGTTCACCAGCGTGCGAGAAGGGGTTGAAGCGAGTGATCGTTTGTGAACGGGTGTGAGGAGATGGAGCGCGCTTAAGTTATTCATGGCCCACTTGATGGTAAGAGTTTTGTTAGGACTCGGGGGTTGCAGTTCGTGTTTATTCCCATTTCACGAGATTTCTTTTGAACACGGACGAGCGTCGCTCGGCCAGGATTAGAAATTCATGGATGTCATTTCCTTCAAGATGAGTTGGTAATGACCCGAGAATTTAGGGGTAAACTGGTTTAGATATAAGCAAGAGTATTCTTATGAGACCATCTCCCCCTCCCTCTCCTCTCCTTCTTTGGTCTTCATGTAGAGTAGTTGGTTTCCATAGCTGGTAGTTGTGTGTGTGCTATTGGGCCCGGCCTCGTCCAACTCCGCCTGGCCTCGTCCAACTCCGCCTGGCCTCGTCCAACTCCGCCTGGCCTCGTCCGACTCTGCCCGGCCTCGTCCGACTCCGCCTGGCCTCGTCCAACTCCGCCTGGCCTCGTCCGACTCTGCCCGGCCTCGTCCAACTCCGCCTGGCCTCGTCCGACTCTGCCCGGCCTCGTCCGACTCCGCCTGGCCTCGTCCGACTCTGCCCGGCCTCGTCCAACTCCGCCTGGCCTCGTCCGACTCTGCCCGGCCTCGTCCGACTCCGCCCGGCCTCGCTCAACCCTGCCCGGCCTCGTCCGGCTTCGTCTAACTTCGCCCGGCCTCGTCCAACTCCGCCCGGCCTCGCCCGGCCTCGCCCGGCCTCGCCCGGCCTCGCCCGACCTGGCCCGACCCCTGGGAGCAGAGGGAGCGGGGGCCCGGGCCACTGGGAGCCGCCACCAGGGCGGGCAGGGCCGCGTGTGGACGCCACTCCTCACCACTCACCCGGTAATTACAAGTGTGTAATCTAATAGGATTAAATCACAGGAATATAAAAGAGCGCAGATTTTATCGCCAGAGTTGACAAAGCAAGAGGCGGAGACAAAAGGCGGCCATATTGCGCTCTTCTCTCTCATGGCCGCTCCTAATTAGTCGTAGTGTGTACACGAGGCCTTCTTCCCTAGCATGGGAATAGCTGCCGATATAATGGTATATATCATTATACTCCTGGAAGAGGAGGCGCTCATTCAAGAGCTATATGGTGCATTTGTAGTGTGTATACTCGGGGATATGACCCCAAGTGTGACTTGTTCACCGTGGCGGCGTCAGTTCAAGTATTTCTCAGACCAGGATCATTTCCCACTCAATACTACAGGGGCGGCTCATGGGGGTCAAAGGTCACACACTGTGCACGAGGAATGGTAATTACGCACCAAGTCTTTACCAAGTTGCTAAGCTAGTTTCCTTGCGGTGATTTCGGGGCTCAACGTCCCCGCGGCACGGTCTCCGACCAGGCCACCTTGTTGCTGGACTGGTCAACCAGGATGTTGGACGTATGAATCACAGCCTGGTTGATCAGGTAACTGCCAAATACATAAATATTTCTCGCTCGGACTCTTATCAGTGTCGATAAGAGAAACGGCTGATTGTTAGGACGCGATAATTCCCGAACGGAGTGACGAGGGCACCATGGAACACCACAGGTCAGTGCTCCGGAACACCACGAGGGCACCATGGAACACCGCAGGTCAGTGCTCCGGAACACCACGAGGGCACCATGGAACACCACAGGTCAGTGCCCCGGAACACCACGAGGGCACCATGGAACACCGCAGGTCAGTGCTCCGGAACACCACGAGGGCACCATGAAACACCACGAGGGCACCATGGAACACCACGAGGGCACCATGGAACACCACGAGGGCACCATGGAACACCGCAGGTCAGTGCTCCGGAACACCACGAGGGCACCATGGAACACCGCAGGTCAGTGCTCCGGAACACCACGTGGGCACCATGGAACACCACAGGTCAGTGCTCCGGAACACCACGTGGGCACCATGGAACACCACGAGGGCACCATGGAACACCACGAGGGCACCATGGAACACCACGAGGGCACCATGGAACACCACAGGTCAGTGCTCCGGAACACCACGTGGGCACCATGGAACACCACGAGGGCACCATGGAACACCGCAGGTCAGTGCTCCGGAACACCACGAGGGCACCATGGAACACCACGAGGGCACCATGGAACACCACGAGGGCACCATGGAACACCGCAGGTCATGTGGGAACCGACCTGTGAGATTTATATTTATTTAATTTATATGAATTTATATTTACGTTAATTTATATACTTCGATAGCAATTTGTATAATGTTAAGTGGACTGTATTTCTGCAATAATCTCTTAATCTCACAAATCGATCCTCTACACATTAGGGGGGTTTATTAAATTTATATATGCAGCCAATCAAACTACAGTATTAACTACATACATTGAAAAGGTTCCTTATCTTATAGTACAGCAGGTTAGTCCACCAGGTATAACTAGGGTGTAGACACCAAATTATCCTCTTTGAGGTAGCTTCCATATCACCCAGTAACTGGTGCACAAATCTTGCTTCCTCGTCTTGACCTGTCAAAAGTGCGCTAGCTGTGAAGCCAGAATCCTATATATGACAAGTATTTCAGAGAAAACTGTACATGGAACATGAAGACCTGGCTTAAATACCTTTAGTTTGAGGCTTCCACGTGATCTAACCGGGTCACCCTATATCCTGACATTAATGGCCATAAATGAATGATAAACGGGTTTCGGAAAGAACACTTAACTTGAATTGTAGACATCGTGTTGGAGATGGTACCTTTGGTTTCCATAACACTACGTCCAAGTAAAATTAACAGGAGCCGAATTTGCTCCCGTGTGAGCCTCTGGTCTCAATCAAAACAATGGCTGTTTAACACTCCATACTATTGACGTTACTGGCCGACATTGTCCAGATATGATAGGAGCTAAATTTGCTCCACACGTCTCGGAGGTGACACAACAATGGCTGCCCTCCTTCCTCCTTCTCACGCCTGGCTTACATTGTCCACATGTCAGAAAGTGATAGAAGGGTCACATTTACTCTACTTTAATATTGATAATTAAGTTAACTTATATAAGATGTTTTTATGATGGTAAAGTCCAAAGACTAATGTATTTAAGAATAATTCCCACCATAATAGGTGGTGAATTATAATAGTATGTGGTGATGATATCCCGTTTTCTATAGACGGTAATTCCACTACAAGTTACGTTTTCTATGGGTAATTTGTTTATACAACACAGCTATTATCTGTATGATATAAAATGGTGTCGGATTTTCCGACAGGTCAGTGCTCCGGAACACCACGAGGGCACCATGGAACACCACGAGGGCACCATGGAACACCGCAGGTTAGTGCTCCGGAACACCACGAGGGCACCATGGAACACCGCAGGTTAGTGCTCCGGAACACCACGAGGGCACCATGGAACACCACGAGGGCACCATGGAACACCACGAGGGCACCATGGAACACCACGAGGGCACCATGGAACACCACGAGGGCACCATGGAACACCACGAGGGCACCATGGAACACCGCAGATCAGTGGCCCGGAACACCACGCACCACGATGGGATATGTGACACATTTATGAACTATGTGAATTATATGTAAGCAGCTCCCGTCTCCCGCCTCTTTTGCCGCTCAAATTCAAACGCAGTATTCACATGCAAATGGTATTGCCATCACGGGGTCACAATGTTTACACCGCCGGTCGTAGCTCTCACAGAGAGAAACTTGCCAAAAGAGTTCTTGAAGATATCCACACACATTTCTTTCCTTTTACTTTAAGATTCTAAAGCAAAGTATGCATTGAAAACACTTTATTGAAGCTGTAATTCTGTTTGACAGAGACAAGACGGGCGAAAGAAATCGTGATTAACGGTAGAGCGGACATGACGTCATCACAATGGCGCGCTGACACAGCCTGCACACGTAAGATAATTCCAGAGCAAATGGCGTGCGAGAGCGAAGGAGGTGAGATATCTCAGCTTTGTCTGAGTTATTAACGTTTTTACTATACCTCTAAATCCTGCAGCAAGAGTTTGGCAGCTTGCGGTGAGAGGTGTGGAAGCCAAGATGGCTGCCGGGTGCTTGTCAGGGTCTGGGTCATGTATTAACCTAGTTGTGCTTCTTCTTGAGGTTATTTTGAGATGATTTCGGGGCTTTTTAGTGTCCCCGCGGCCCGGTCCTCGACCAGGCCTCCACCCCCAGGAAGCAGCCCGTGACAGCTGACTAACACCCAGGTACCTATTTTACTGCTAGGTAACAGGGGCATAGGGTGAAAGAAACTCTGCCCATTGTTTCTCGCCGGCGCCTGGGAACGAACCCAGGATACAGGATCACAAGTCCAGCATGCTGTCTGCTCGGCCGATCGGCTCCCGGTGCTTGCGGGGGTTGAGCTCTGCTCTTTCCACCCGCCTCTCAACTGTCAATCAACTGTTACTACTAAATTTGTTTCCACACACACCCCCAGGAAGCAGCCTGCTTCAGCTGTCTAACTCCCAGGTACCTATTTACTGCTAGGTAACAAGGGCATCAGAGTGAAAGAAACTCTGTCCATATTGTCTCTCGCCGGCGCCGGGAATCGAACCCCGGACCACAGGATTACGTGCCCAGCGTACTGTCCACTCAGACACCGGCCCCCTGGCGTGTATCAGGGTCTGGGTGATGTTTCGTTCCTCGCTCAATATTCACTATACATACACTATACATACACTATACCTGCAATGGCCCGGTGGACCAATATAAGCAAGGTGCTTCACTTTCACCTAGAGAACACACAGCCCCGCTCCTGTGCCAGGTAAGTCCACTACGGGCTCACCATAGCCCGTGCTACTTGTCCCGCTCCTGTGCCAGGTAAGTCCACTACGGGCTCACCATAACCCGTGCTACTTGTCCCGCTCCTGTGCCAGGTAAGTCCACTACGGGCTCACCATAGCCCGTGCTACTTGCAACCTTTGTTCCAATAGCGAATCTTAAACAACAACTTCACCTCATCCCACGGGGACAAGAAGCCGGCGGGCATCTGGGCACACACGGAGTGACCGTGGGTATATACCCCACCATCATTTGGAACAATTGGTTGTAAAGGGATTATAAATTACTTGTCGTAACTATTAAACCACGACACAACTCTGAACAAGACAATCAAACAGAACACATTTAGGGTTAACAAGAGTCTCGGTAAGTTACAACTAACGACAGTTAGTTCAGTTCATTTATTATGCACCCCATACCCATCTTGTGGGTGGTAGTGGAAAGGGTTACAGAGGCACATAATGGGCTTATCATCCTTAAATGCTCTCTACTAACGACAAGATCCTCGGTAAGTAACTTACTAATTAGGCGGTAGAGAGAGGAGTGAAGGCACATGTACAAGCCTCGTGTGGACCAATAGGCTTACTGCAGTATTCCTGCTGGCCGCGGACCAGTAGGCCTACTGGTATGTCTCCTCGGAGGTTATAACTCTGTGATCATGTTAAAGTATCGCTGACGAGTCATGCTTCAGCACCTGACCTTACCACAGTGTTATAATGAGCAGCACAACATGTGCTGAGCACCACTTGGTCCGGGAGACATCTCCCGTCACGTAGGGTACAGTCGCACCTCCACAGATCTCCAGTATCAGCTCTTGATACTGGTAATGGCTCAAAAGGGCCACCACTTACGGGCTATTCATGCCCGTGCCACCTTTTAGATGGCTTAATCTTCATCAATCAATGTGCCACTAGCACGCGTAGCGCTCCAAGCACGCCCTTAATCCTATGGTCCCTGGAATACGACCCGCCAAATCGTAAATAGAGGCTACAGTTAAGGATTGGCGCCCTGTCAATCCTCCCCGGCCAGGATATGAACCCAGGCCAAAGCGATCGCGAAGAGCCGGGCGAGTGCTTTACCACTGCGCCACGGGGACCACATTGCTCTAGTTTCAACGTGCAACATTGTGGATCTACATACATTGAAGGCGGAAGGTCGGGGCATTGTCGGAGGCCTCCCAGGCTAATGCCTCGTCCTAGACACCGCGGGGCCGCCTCCTCCTCACTACCTCGTGGCAAGCCTTTCAATTTCCCTGGCGCCCTTGTCCTGAATGGCCGCCGCCCGCGCCCCCTAGGGACCCCTAAACAATTATACAGGTCAGGTCAGGTTACCTCTCCATCTCCAGCCATGTTCCCCCGAGTAGCACTCAAAGGCTGACCATAAATGCATTTTTTTCACAAACCATTTGGCAAGTGGAGTTAAGATGTTTGTGAGACGTGCAGGTGTTCTTGACCCGTGGCCTCTGCCCTCACCCACGCACATATTGAGATTTGTTCATATGTTAAATTGTTGTTTTCCTTTAGTGAATAAAGACTTGGTGGAGCGCCTGGAGCGGCCGGGCCAGAGAGGTCCTCAAAGCGGCAGTGAATGCGCTCGTATGAAGGAGTTACAGAGAACTTAATGAGAATATAGAAAGGTTAATCTCGAATGTTTACTTGCTGTTTGGGCGGGAAGGAGAGGTTATTCAGGGTGGGGCGCTTGAAGATGGTATCCGGCCCTCATTATGTCGGCCCGCGCAGGCGCCCCGCGGGTGCTGGGGAGCGCGGGAACACGCAGTACGCATCTCGCTCTTCACACCCGCGCGCCGGGGGGCAAATGTCTCATGTTGGGTGATTATGAATTGATATGCTGATAAAGAGTTGTTGATACGAGCTGCGTTTCCACGTAGAGGGAAAAAGATGAGCCCCAGGAGAGAACGCCAGCAGAGACAAGCCTCTTCCCCACCATGCGAATTTGAGGCAGGAGGGAAGGTGCCCAACCATGTTTAGACCATAGGGGATCGAACACCGACCGTGCAAGAAGCTATGTTGGAAGCAAGGTTGACCTTCCCTTATCACAATGACCTACAACTATCAAAACCTCCATAGAACACCTGGGCGACAGACACACACACATATATATACACGATGGAGAGAGGAGTAGCAAGAGATATGGAGAATAAAGGAATACAGGAGACGGAAGAAAGGGGCATGAGAGTCAAGGCATACACAAGGAAGGACAAATGAAACAGGCATTGCCATGAGCACCGGGATGCTTCCGGACGCAGGTTCGAATCCTCGTCACGGCCCTTGTGGATTTGTTCATTTGATGCATCACGTTAGTGTGATCGCCATGATATCCTGAAGCATGAGTAGTGATGTAAGAGTAGGCATAGAGACAAGCATAAAGGCATACATGAGTGAGGAAGATTAGAGTGAACACAGGGACAAGGCATGAGGGCATACAGGAGGGGGTAGAGAGACTCGCCACAGAAATAGGGGGTTAAACACACATCACAGTGACAAAGAAGCAGGCATAGAAGCGAAGCACGACCGCATACAGAAGATAGGGTGAAGCAGAAATACAGACAAGGCATAAATACATGAGAGTAACGCTGGAAGTGCAGGCATAGATATGAGACTTAAAGATATACACAATTGTATGCCTTGATGCCAGAGGGTGCCAAGAGACGAGCCAAAGCGGTATATACTAATGCCTTGCTGCCTTATGTAGAAGGAGGAGGAGGCATAGTGGGGCATAGAGAAGCGAGGAGAGGGAGGCATAGAGGCGAGTGAGCCAGAGGACAATTGTGTTAGCGGTGCCTGTGTAACCAGCTTACCGCACTGTGCTGCCGCCCTAATGCCCAAATGTAATTTTAAAATGTAAGAAAGGCGGCGAGTTTGAGGTGGTGGATTGAATTATCTCCGAGCTGCGGCTGTGTTAGTGGCTTGCTGTGGTGGTGAGGGGGGTGCTGTGGTGGTGAGGGGGGTGCTGTGGTGGTGAGGGGGTGCTGTGGTGGTGAGGGGGATGCTGTGGTGGTGAGGGGGGTGCTGTGGTGGTGAGGGGGGTGCTGTGGTGGTGAGGAGGGTGCTGTGGTGGTGAGGGGGATGCTGTGGTGGTGAGGGGGGTGCTGTGGTGGTGAGGGGGTGTTGCTGTGGTGGTGAGGGGGGTGTTGCTGTGGTGGTGAGGGGGTGCTGTGGTGCTGAGGGAGTGTTGCTGTGGTGGTGAGGGGGGTGTTGCTGTGGTGGTGAGGGGGGTGTTGCTGTGGTAGTGAGGGGGGTGTGAGGGGGGTGCTGTGGTGGTGAGGGGGGTGCTGCTGTGTTGGTGAGGGGGGTGCTGTGGTGGTGAAGGGGTGCTGTAGGGGTGAGGAGGGTGCTGTGGTGGAGAGGATGTGCTGTGGTGGTGAGTGAGGGGGGTGCTGTGGTGGTGAGGGGGATGCTGTGGTGGTGATGGGGGGTGCTGTGGTGGTGAGTGAGGGGGGTGTTGCTGTGGTGGTGAGGGGGTGCTGTGGTGCTGAGGGGTGTTGCTGTGCTGTGGTGGTGAGGGGGGTGCTGTGGTGGTGAGGGGGGTGTTGCTGTGGTGGTGAGGGGGGTGTTGCTGTGGTGGTGAGGGGGGTGCTGTGGTGGTGAGGGGGTGCTGTGGTGGTGAGGGGGGTGCTGTGGTGGTGAGGGGGTGCTGTGGTGGTGAGGGGGGTGCTGTGGTGGTGAAGGGGTGCTGTGGTGGTGAAGGGGTGCTGTGGTGGTGAGGGAGAGTGTTGCTGTGGTGGTGAGGGAGGGTGTTGCTGTGGTGGTGAGGGAGGTGTTGCTGTGTGGTGAGGGGGGTGCTGTGGTGGTGAGGGGGGTGTTGCTGTGGTAGTGAGGGGGGTGTTGCTGTGGTGGTGAGGGAGGGTGTTGCTGTGGTGGTGAGGGAGGGTGTTGCTGTGGTGGTGAGGGAGGTGTTGCTGTGGTGGTGAGGGGGGTGCTGTGGTGGTGAGGGGGGTGCTGTGGTGGTGAGGGGGGTGTTGCTGTGGTAGTGAGGGGGGTGTTGCTGCGGCTGTGTTAGTGGCTTGCTGTGGTGGTAAAGGGGGTGCTGTGGTGGTGAGGGAGGTGCTGTGGCTGTGTTAGTGGCTTGCTGTGGTGGTAAAGGGGGTGCTGTGGTGGTGAGGGAGGTGCTGTGGTGGTGAGGGAGGGGTGCTGTGG